GAGAAAGATATAGTGTGATCCAGTGGCTGGAAGCTGAAGCTAGACAAATTCAGACTGGAAATGAAGCACAACTTTTTGACATGGTAATTAACCACTGGAACAATTTATCAAGGGTTGTGACGGCCAAGGCGGATGTACGGTGCCCACATTTTGATCTGTCTAACAAGAGCAAGGCACATCTTTTGGTGCTTACAGAAAACAAACAATCTATACCCCAGCATATTTGTTATTGACACACTGTTAATTTAAAAGTAATTCATTAATTATTAATTTTTGCTGCACCTTTCAGTTCCAGATTCAAGCTGGGGGGGGGGGGGGAATCTTGCTCATTCCATTGGCTGTTTGTAAGCCTTTTCAGTCCAGTGCAGACAAGCCTACTCCTCTACCATTGGGTGGTGGGTGACACACATTTACAACCAGCTGTGCCTCTGAACGCCTGCACGTCCTATCTTGTTTTTAGTAACACAGCTCCTCAGCATTCCATGCTCCCACGGGCACAACAAAAGCAGAGAGCGGTGATGGACGAGAACTATTAAAGCCATCCCTGCAAGCTGCTGACATCTGCACTAAGGAAAGCCAAAGATTTCTTTGTATGGTTTTATTTAAGCGGCACCAGTTATCAGTCATGCTACCTGCTTTGTTTCTTTAAGAGGTCATATTTTCAGCACCCACCCATCCCATCACCACCAAAAACACTCAAGAATGGAGAACAAGGAAGTGCTATCCAAATGGCCAAGCACTGGAATGCCCTCCCTTTTAGCATTATCTTCTCAGTGAGAACAAATAGTCCAATTCTTCCCTCTGCCACTCTGAACGCATATTGACAGCTTACACCAAGCGATTCCAGTAGCACGTTCATGAACGAGTCAAGCAAAACGATTGGGTAAAAAATGAACAGACATACCTGGATAAGAGAAACATTGTGTAGACTAAGTCTGAAGAGGTAGTTCCTGCATGAGAAAGAAGAAATAAAAAAAAGTTGTTAGATTCAGGAGAACTTTTTAAAAAAGGAAGGGCGGGGGAGAAGAAAGTGAGGGAAAAATCATATACTTTCGGCTAAAATGTATGGTTATGCATTTATACAGGCAGCAAGGCTTTCCAAGAAAAGTGTCCACGTGATCCACCGAAAGAACAAAAAGAAATGCTAAAATGGTGCCTCTTGTTTCACAGAAATGTAGGGCTGGACTGGACCCCTAAAGGTCATCTAGTCCAGGCCCTGGCACTAAGGCAGGGCCAACTAAACCTAAGCCATCCCTGACAGGGGTTTGTTCAACCTGTTCTTAAAAACGTCTAATGATGGGGATTCCACAACCTCTCTTGGAAGGCTATTCCAGTGCTTCACTGTCCTTACAGTCAGAAAGATTTTCTTAATCTTTAACCTCAATCTCCCTTGCTGCAGAGTAAGCCGATTACTTCTTGTCCTACCATCAGTGGACATGAACAATTGATCCCCATCCTCTTTATAACAGCCCTTAACATATCTGAAGAGTGTTATCCGGTCCCCCTCACTCTTTTCTCAAGACAAAATATATCCAGGGTTTTTGCTGTAACATTTCCTCATAGGTCTGGTTTTCTAAACTTTATTTCTCCTCTGGATTCTGTCCAATTTGTCCACATCTTTCTGAAAGTGTGGCACCCAAAACTGGACATGATACTTCTGCTGAGGCCTCAGCACTGGCAAACACATCAGGACAATAACCTCCCTTTGCCTGTCTTGTCATGAACTTTGTAACAAAACTCAGAGCCAATTTGTAGCCAAACTTTCCAAAGCCTTTAATGGAGATGTACAAAGAAACCTGAACAACTAGGGGCTTGATTCAAAATCTTCAGCTGGCCCAAGGTCTATGCTGCTACACTCCTGTTTGCTTCTGGGAGTGGGGATGAGATGGAATCTGCAGACCTGGGCTCAGAAGAGCAGGGAAAAGGGTAGCTGCATTCTGCTAGGTGTTCTCCACACACACAAAATTTGCAGCGAAATCAGTGCAAGGGCCTGTGGCCTGAACCTGTGGTCCGTGTGGAAATTCCCCATGCCCCCACACCCAAGCCATGATGTAGAATCTTTCCAAGCAAAGAGGATTCTGGGGCAGAGGCAGGTGGGTCCTGACATGATAGTTCTTGCTGCCAATGGTTAAAGGGGGCAAGGGGATGGCCAGATGGCTATCGGAGGCAAAGGGCCTAGGCATCCCCACGACACCTTCATGATGTGTGAAGAGCTAAAAGAAAGATTCAGATTACAGAAAAAAGGAAACAATCATTTGTGTTATGCAGGTGTTTATGCTTAATAACCTTGACTTAATGCATTCACATTTCCACCCATGTCTAATGAATACATTCAATATAGTACAATCATAAATATAATAAATAGAGAAAGATATAGTGTGATCCAGTGGCTGGAAGCTGAAGCTAGACAAATTCAGACTGGAAATGAAGCACAACTTTTTGACATGGTAATTAACCACTGGAACAATTTATCAAGGGTTGTGACAGATTCTCCATCACTGACAATTTTTAAATCAAGATTGAATGTTTTTCTAAAATATAGGTCATTTATTTTGGGGAAGTTGTATGGCCTATGTTATACAGGAGGTCAGATTAGATGATCACAATGATCCCTTCCACTCACGTGCACAGGAATAACCGACAGAGGAGCATGAGATTCTTAAATGACCCTCAAAGCATGTCACAGACGATACTAAATGAATGATTTCCTGAGAAGTATTTAGGCAGTGTGGCCTAACAGAGCACTAGTCTGGGATTCAGGATACTTGGGTTCTAGTCCCAGCTCTGCCACTGGCCTGTGGAGAGACCTTGGGGAAGCCAATTCCCGCCCTCTGCCTCAGTTTCCCCATCTGTAGCATGGGGATAATGACACTGACCTCCTTTGCACAGAGCTTTGAAATCTCAACTCTGTTCACCTACTGATGAAAAGAGCTAGGTATTATTAATTATTATTATTATTATTATTAGCAAAATGTGTCCAATGTATCTTTCCAAGTTCTCACTTAAGAGCATCTCCCCAAATCCAGCAGTTCTTTTGTATACTGAAAACATCCTTCCCTTCTCTTACAGCTGCATAACCTCCCAGATACTCTGTTATTAAACTGTTTCTCATAAGCCACAGCACGCTAACACGTTGTGCACTACCTGGTCCGCACCGGGACGCTGCATTCACACTAGAAGTTCCCCAGTGCACTGTAGTGCAGTGCTGTTTCAAACAGCATGATGTTAAAGCATGCTAGGGAAATTTTAGTGAAAACCAGCAGAGTCTACACAGACCAGTTAGTGCGCAACAAGTTAGTGCACTTAGAAGTCACATTGTCACGCTGTGTAGAGAAGCCCTTTAACAAATATTAAATGTTTCACAGACCCATGGCACGAGGGTTACACACAGGGGTGAAAGTAAGGCGGTACGGGCTGGTACAGTGGCCAGTACCCAGCTGACTTTAAAGTGCTGCCACGTCAGCGCTTTAAGGATCCTGCTTAAAGTGCAGGTGCAGCAGCGCTTTAACGTCGTTTCCCCCCTCACTCCTCCCTGGCCACCGACAGGAGGAGCAAAAGGAGCAGCTGCCCCGGGGCCAGTGATTTAAAAGGGCCCGGGGCTCTGGCAGCGGTGGCTGGAGCCCTGGGCCCTTTAAACCTCCGTTGGAGCCCTGGGCGGTGCAGGCCAGGCAGAGCGGATGGGCTGGCTGGGGGACGCTGACCCCCAGCCGCACCCCTTCCGCCTGAGGCCCTGCCCCTTCCGTCCAAGGTGCCGGCCTCTGTACCGGTAAGTCCTGTGTTATACTTTCGCCCTTGGTTACACACAGCTATGGAATCGCTCAAACTGGAAATTTTGATCCAACAGCTGATTTTTCTTGGATCCCTTAGGAAAGCGCATGCTAATTTAGCAAAAATAATAATGCAGCTCTAGTGTGTAAGGTATCATGAAATAATCCTGCTCCTGAAGGTGTTAAAGCATGTCACAGGGCCTCAAGTCTTATAACACCCTGAGGAAGGAGTTCTCATGATAACTGGCTCGGAGCTGGTATCCTGTTGTTAAGCATGCTATTTAAATGCATTGATTTTGGAAGTCTTATAACACAGATTCCAGCTCCTTGTTTTAGTCCTGTGAAACACGGGGTGGTTTGACTGAGTGATAAACTTCTAATATTAGATTCTCCTCCCCCCCCCCCCCAGTGGAACAGATTCAACCCAAAACTTTTAAAGGAAGAGGCATATTCAAAGGAGATGGTTTTCCTTGCACCCAAAAGAGCTGCAGAAAGAACAGAGTCTATTTAAAGAAAAGCAGAGTCTATCTTTGCAGAGATCACTACGTGGCGCATGCACATATGCATCAGCTGTGAGCTGTGGTCAGGTGGCACACAACCCTCCATCAGTCAAGGATACTAAAGTTCATGCAATTATCTTCTCGACTCTTCATACTAATGTTACTCCTGGTGGAATTCTGCACCAAAAAAAAATGAAAAATTCTGCAAACAATATTTTAAAATTCTGCAAAATTCTGCATATTTTATTTGTCAAAATAACACAATATCATCACACTAGTTTCAATTATTTTGGTAATTTATTTCAAAATACCTGTCAGCAAGTATGTCTATAACAATACAGACAACAAAAAAGATTCAGGAAATGTTTTTTGACAAATAGATTCCTTACTAGGCATGTTAATACAGAACTCTGAGTAAGAATTCATTTAAACTACAATACAGAACCGTATTTCCCACACCCCTCAGAAGCAGTGCAAAGGCTTGGGGGAGTCTGGGATAACGGATGAACCGAGGGAGAGGGAAGTAATTGCTGGGAAGGACCCTGGGTATAAACTTGAAGGGTTGTTGGGTATTGGTGGGGAAAGTATGGAACAGGTATTTTGGAGGGTGGGGAGGGATTGTTAAGGAGCCTCCCCATGCAGAGCCTGGCTGACCCCGAGCCTCTCCCATTCAGTCAGGCACATCTGCCTCTGTCCACATGTCTGTGTTCCTACTCAGCCATTCCTCTTCCCCCCTGTAGCTCTGCACCCCTCCCCCTCTTCCCATGTGGCGCCGTGCCTCCACTCCCATTCAGTCCCTGCCCTAGTCTGTCCTCCCTCACTAGCGCTTATGAGCCCCTCTCTGTGACCACCCCAGCAGCCCCACACTGTCCGTCTCCCGACCTGGTCACAGGCGCTGTGAAGAAGGCAGGCTCCTTCTCTTCCCTATCCTGGCTGGGGCTTGCCAGGAGCAGCTGCTGCGTTCTAGTGCCACAGCCACCTTCTGGTGGGCAAAAGGCAGAACTGCAGAAGTTATTTTCTGCTGGGAGCCGCTGCTTTCTTCTAGCGCCACAGAGCCCTCCAGTGGGCAAAGGTGGAACTGAAGCAAATTTTCAGCAGAAGCTATTTTCTGCAAGAAAAATAAAAAATATGCATGGCACATGAAATATGCACATGCGCAGTGCCACAGAATTCCCCCAGGAGTAATTTAACGTATACCTCTGTCCTGCAAACACAATTCTGTAAGAATGGTGTCCTATATGTTTGCCATTTTTCCATGGAGAAAAATGGGCCCCATTTACAGATACAAATATGTTTTTTCTTATTTCTTACCTGGCAAACTCAACATGGCATCTGAGATGAAACTGAGTCCTTTTTTTCTCGCATATCATCACCAGTAATAGAAATTCTGCTGGCCAGATTATGCCCTCAGTGATGCCTATTCAATTCTTTGTCTTTTAATGGCTTTACACAATTGTAACTGATTGAATCTAACAATTCTGTTGGTGATGCACAAGAAGGGATAGAATCCAGCTCAGTTGCTCTTAGCTGTGTTGACCCTGTAGGGCTAACAGGAGGAAAAAGCAGCAAAAATTAATTTTACTCACTATATTCAGCAAATGTGACTCTGAATATGCCCAGGGAGAAGATCTACTGAGTAAGAAGGCGCCATTCCTACACAGTCACTTTTAAGAGTAGAACTGT